TCCAAATCTGATTGATAATCTGTACCTACTTAGCAGCTGGTGAAACAATCTACAACAATGAAGAGAAGTAAAAAAAGAATTTGGATTGATTTTGACATCGAATTTTATTTCCAATTACAATTATTTATCCTAAATTGATTCGAAAACGTTTTGGAACAACATACTTGTACATCTTTTCTGATATAACGTTTCCAATACAAGCAAACCGTAAAGCATGTAAATATCGAACATGCAACGCACACAATTTACACATAATTATATTACTTTGTAGTATCTGGTTGAACATAGTACAGATACAACACCTAGTAAAATGTTCTAGAAAATCTCGACTAATCTGGAACTAAAGCTACATTGAGTTTGGTTTGTGGCTTAACTCTTAGCTATTGTTACACTTCTGAACATATATACATAAAAATTAACAATTACACATACCGATAAACACGCGTAAAAAATCAAACACGGACTTATGTACATAAATTCTAGTTTATTCGAACCATTCCCTTATCAGCCAGTGATATATCATACACAGCGTAGCCAAAATTGGATAAGTTTCCCAGCAGATAAACGAGTTCTGGTAAGACTAAATCAGGTTAAAATGTAAAGGGTTTCTTTTTGAAAAACTTTCTGGTTGTGGACTGACATCTATACCCAATCATAAATCTCAATCAAACATAAGGAAATTTATGTGTTCATTTTAGATTAGCCGCTGAATACAAGATATGAAAGTGAGCCCAAAACTATGCTGCGTTTTATTACTTGTCCGAAACTGTTCAATTTGAAGAAGAGTCGATAAAATTACTATCAAAAGTTAGAAAAGATGTGGTCTTGATCATACAAAACAAAGCATTTGTCAGCTATTTCATTTCCAATTCAAGATAAGACTTGTTCTGCTTTTAGCGCAAGAACAACGCCTCTGCAGGCGCGTGCTTTCATCATTTGATTCATAATTTTACCCGTTTCAATTCAATGTTTGCTCTTCGTTACCGCAAAACTTTAAAAAACTGTATGTGTAAGTTTTGACTGATTCCGCTCAAGAACGTACTATTTTTGACAAGACTGCTCCTGGAGATTTTCTTTCCTTATTAGACAACAATTAAATTCAAATAATGATAATTGGATCACTCTAAATCACATATTTTCTATTTAGGTTATCTTATTGCACTTATATTTTTTGAAAATATAGTTAAATATGGTTTAAAAGGCCATCAGAAAAGATTATTTTTTGATCATCGGAGTTTATATCATCGATTCAGCGCAAATAGCAAAAGTTATGCTAATCAAGGATCTAGATTTACTCATCTCCTTATGAGCGCATTCCTCTTTCGTAGAGACAATTTGGATCTTCCCAGGAAGTCGAGAGGCCCAAGTCGGCCTGGAAATGGAGCCACCAGCTTCACCTTTTTACTCTCGTTGCAGAAATCAGTCTAACAGTGAGCCCTTGGTGCAGTAGGCAGACAACCGATATTAGCCAAATGTAAACGCCAGTTACTCGCAAAAAACAAGAAAAAGGATCGGAACGCATCAATCTCTGTTATACGTGGCGTCAATTGAAAAATTTTCAGTCTGTTTTGTGTTTTGTGCTGTTTTTTTCAATTAGTTGAGTTGAATTTATTAATGTTTAGCTGTTTGTTTTGTAATCCAAATTAAATAAAACAAAAAGAACAAAAGTTTTTTTTGCTCCTAATTCTTTAAAATTATAAAAAATTTGTGTTTCATTTAGAATCATGTCTAAAAAATAGTCGTTCTAGAAAATTCAAAATCGCAAAAGAAGATTGGGTTGTTTATTTTGCACAAATTTAAAAATTTACTGAAAGTTTTCTTTATTACTGAAAAAATGAGTTGAACATACCCTTTACCGTTAATTTTATCATAGTTAAAAGATTATTTTCTAAGATACTATAGCTCAAACAATCGATATTGCATAAATATGGGGGAAAAAGATGAAAAAAAAAGAACAGTTGAACCTGTATTAAATCGCTTTTTCAGAACCAAATATATTTTTCAAACAATAAAATTTTTGATGGTTTAGCGAGAAAACAACATAATGTGCAACTCTAGTCAATGTAACTTGGTGTACGGTTAAACCTGCAGCCTAATCGTCAACTGAAGATATATCAAACTACAGAACTAACAAATGAATCAAAAAACAAAGTTTTTAAAGAAGATTACAATTCTTAGAACAATGGCTAAATTTTTTTTTCGAACCAAAATTTCCACTGTCTTAAATTTTCTGTACAAAACTAAATAATTACTTGAAATCAATTTTCGATATGTCAAAAAACTTTATTGGGACTATCCAACAAAAACCTTTCAACAACTTGTTTTGGAATTTTCCCGTGTTATGCAAGTTAGTACGCCTCAATTTTTCTTCTGACCACTAAAAGCGCTTCTCATGACTCACTGGTCAATTTTGATTTGAAGTTTGATACCGTTGGAAAATGGGTTTGGGAGATCAACAGACATTTTAAAAAATTGTTTATCGCCTTTTGTATTTTAAAGGTCAGCAGAACTAATAAGTGAAACCTTTGCCCGTATGTAAGCAAAACTTGCGTGCGTGTCTATTTAT